TGGGGAGGAGGGACCTGGGAAAATAAAGAGTGAAAAAGACATGCACTGGGCTAATACCTGTGGCGTTTCAAATCCTTTACCTCTCACTGCTGCCTTTACTGCTTGCACACATAGCTTGACAGATTCTCTAGCTAAATTATCAGCAATACTTTCCATTAGTTTTATTTGTACTTATTTTGCAGCCTGAATATGTACTTTTAAGATGGTCTGCAACACTGAGAAGCACTATATAAAACAAGTTGTATGAGCACCCACCAACACAGAGGAAATCAATTTCCTGCTTCTTAGACCTGGGTATAAGGAGCAAGAATAATAAAGCACAATAGGGTGAAAGCAAATGACAGAAAAGTAAGCAAATCTGTAAGTAGAGTTTCTTGGGGTGGCTTAGGAATACAGCTTTTAAGGTAGAACAATAAATACAGCATATTTTCACTTTGATTGTATTACTGTTAGTTTTGTGCCAAATTGTGCAATTTTTCTGGCATTGACACAAAAAGGGAGCACCTGCATCTACTTCAAAAATCTGAACATTCTTTTCTTAAGAATAAAGCCTTCAGACAGCAAGGCATTTCTCTACCACACACATTGTTTTCCTTTATCAATTTACAACCTGGATCGGGAAAGGAATTTTGGGGTTTGTTTGTTTGAGGATGTTTTCCTTCCCAGGGGCTTTTGGAACTTGAAGGTATAAAATCCTTAAGTAGGGATATATTTTATTCTTGAGCAGTAAAATTGCATTCAATTTTGACTGATGTGAAAGTTATTTATAATAATTAATTGCTTTCAGTAATGTGTCTTGGTTGAGAAGATTCTTCAGTGTGTTAAAGCTAATGTTTAAAAATGTTCTACAGAGGATTGCTCACTAGTTTGATCAGCAGATCTCTAGCACCAGTTGCATCACCTACTGTGTTCTAAAATATCTCTGGACTCAAAATATATCACCAGTGATGCTGTCTCATTTTGTATGGGTCACCCCTCCCACTCCCTCATATCTGCTGACTGGAGAAAAATACACAGAGCTCTTTGGGATTACAGCTGGTTCCAGCCCCACCTCTGTGGTGAGATGATGAGGAACGTCATCATGGGGAGTTTCCTGATTCCTCACTTCTTCTCTGTGTATGGGTGTTAAGTGCAGGAGAAGTCCCAAATGACTATTGGTTGGACTTGATTCTTCTCCACTGTCCTTTGGAACAACAGGTTTCTCCTTTATCAGCTGCTGACAAGCAGACATGCTGTAAGATGTCTGTTCTGGAGGCATATTTTCCAAACAATTCTCATACTGAATGCTGCGTTTGCTATGAAAAGTTACACCATAATTAAATTGAAAGACCAAACTTCTGAAATATAGGATGTTTCTGTAATTAGCTGGTCTGTGTAATCTTAATTTACATACAAATTTGTATGGATAGCTACAGCTCATAAAGCTTTCACTACAGGAGCCAGGTCTTGGTAAAAATACATTCTGCATGCAGAGGAGGCAGAGCTGAGGATTTCCAGGCAACCATGGAAAAGGTATTTTCCAACCTATTAATCTTCAAATCCTGTGGACTTGCCAGTGTGAGAGGATGGACTGTAGGAGAATAGAGAAAGTGCTGAAGGCAAACTCACCCCTGAGGAGTTGCAACTGTGCTAATTACCAAAGAGTAGGAACAGCCCTGCCCTTAATAGGTCACAGCTATGTCCAATAAGGATGGGTGTTATAAAAGAGTGGGTTAGCTGCTTGACAGAGGGTTGGCATCAGCCTGCTGTGAGGAGTAAGGCTCAGGCAGTCGTGCTAGGGACAGTAAGGGTTAGTATGTGCTACTAGGGACAGAAAGGGTCAGGTGGTGGTGATAGGGACAGCCGTGTGGAAGGAAAAGAAAAGGAGTCAGTGCTGTGAGGAGCTGCCCGTGGGAACTCAGAGAAGGTATGAAAGTCTTGCAGTGAGATAACAAATTAACGGTGATGGTTCCCATCCACCATTGATTGGTGCCAAGTGCTGATGCCAACAATTGGTGGCTCATACGGGGATGAGTTCTGACATGCCAGGATTCCTGATGTAGATGCAGAAATCCCTAGGCAGTATCGAATAATGGAGGGTAAACATAAAGCTTTTCATCACAGGATTTCAGAAAGACTTTTGAGGCTGCTCACCCAAAAAGACAAGACTGTTGCCAATATTAAGTCAGATCAGCTATGGCTGTGTGTAGCTGCATTTTAGAAACCTAAAAAAAAAAAAAAAAAGGGAATTTCAGAGTTTGCCTGCACAGCTTGACAGGGCTATACTGGAAAGGTTCTCCTCCTAGTAAAAAGTCTTTCCTTAAAGCCCCCTTTTTTTTTTTGACCCCTCTTCAAGTAGTTGCCTGCTTTCAGACCAAGCCCAAGACTCCTTGGCGGTCTCAGTATTTCAGGATCTCTCAGTATTTCCTTGTGGTCCAGTAGGTTGTCCAAAACTTGATTCACTTTTTCACATGAAGCCTTCCAAACTCTGGGCAAATGGGAAAAGCAACTTCCTCATCTCTTCTAGGGAACTCCTTTCAACAACAGAGTGATCTTCATGGGAGAGAGAGAGAGAGTATTCAAGCTAGAGTCCAACAATTATCTTCTTTTCAGCAGGATTGCCACCAATTCTTTATTCACATATGAGCTTATACTATTCCAAGAGCAGAAGTTTGCTTTTCTCCTTGTTGAAGTTTGTTTTCCCAGTCCTCTAGTTTACAGAAATCCCTATGGATTTAAGTAACTCCCTCTAATTTAGCATAATTCATAAATTTGCAGGTGTTAGAATCCTAGGTTATCACCTAGGTCATTGATTAAGACATCCAACAGTGAGAAAGAGCAACCATTAGACTGCTCTGCTCACTGCTGGCCACCAAACAGATGCTGAGCTGCTCATTGATAAATTTTAAGCCCAGAGGTACTGTTAATTTTTAGTCCATCTAAACATAATTTCTTCCAGTCCACAATTTCTCAGCTGCCAGCTATCTGAGTATGGAGTCAAAAGCTTTCCTATTGCTGAGATACATGATATCTAAAAACCTCACTTTGTTGTAGGAGGCACCCAGGTTTGCTGAACATCATTTGTCTCTGGTAAATCCAGGGATTGCTGATTAAAACTGCAACGTTTTTGTTCTTCATGTGTTTATTAATGCATCCCAAAAAGACAAGCTGTGTGATTTTATCAAGGTCTGTGGTGAGTCTGGCTGACCTGTAAGTCCCCAGACCCTTCCTCTTGTCATTTTTAGAAATGGCACCCAGTGCCACTGTGAAAGCCATCCAGGGAAATGTGTGCTTTCTCTGTGGAGGGCAGGATATCCTGGAACTGTTTTACCATGACAGAAGGGCTGTGCCTGGGAAAGCACCATGATCATGGCAGCATACAGTGAGCTCTTGCTGCTCCTTGAAAATTTGGAGGAGACTGTGTAAATCTCATGCCAGGCCATGCCCATATGTGCAGAGGTGTTTATCCCAGCTGACTGTGTAATTTGTGTGCAGTCATACCAGTTTTTGGCTTCTCACTTAGACACCTGAATTAGGAAAATTTACCATATATACAATAATTCCTCGACTAAATAATCCAGAACTCTCATTTTAATCAACATTTTAGCTCAACTTCATTCTGTGTTTTTTCCCTCTTGGGGGTATAATGATAATAAAGGAATCTGACTCAGTCCCCTGAGTTAGGAAATTGCTCCCTTAGGCAGTGTGACTCGTCCTACTGAGTTCAACTGGAAATTTATTTTGTTGCATAAAATAGAAAAATATGATTCACATACTGTTAATACTCAGCTGCATGTTTGCAATTTGAGCATTTAATGAATTTCAGTTCAACAAATTAATTGCCAGTTTAGCCTGAAAATGTTTTAGAGGTCCTTGGGAATACACAATTGTGTTGCCTCATCTGTATGGATCAGCACATGACCTCTGCAGCTAAGACTGTCTTAAGAAAAGTGGGGTTTTTTTCTATTTAGAATCACAATTGCCAAGCCAGGAAAACCATTCTGTAAGTGAGGTCACATGCTAAGGGTGCTTTTGCTAATTATTTCTGGACATTAATGCAAAGAAGATAATTCAAATTTCATCCAAAGTATTCAACACTCTACTTGAAAACAGGCACAGGACCATAGAGTTTGGAAACTAATAAAGTCTTTTAAAAGGCTTCTTTAGGAAAATATTTGGAGATTGATTATTTTAGAGGTAGTTGCACTTGGAATTGCCTTAGTAGTTGTGGTCTTTAATTTTACATCTAGTGCACTTTCGGCCCACTTCCTGCAATGCAGGCAGGCACTGAACTGCTCATTCTTGATCCTTTGGCTTAAGTGGCAGGATGGGGAATATCTATACAGAGAGCACAAGCAGCAGCAGCCCGTGTTTTGGAAAAGCTACGTTTCAAGACTGAGAACGTTGAAAGAACAAATTCAGGAATCCTCTCCCACTGGATTTAGTTGTTTCTAAACCTCAGCCTTAAGAGCTTCCTTCTGTCCTGTAGAGGATACTGCTGCAAGTGGTAACAAATATGAAATGCTAATCGAGATTTTTGGGGAGGATTACTGAAAGGCCAAATGAAAGCTTTGGGAGAAGCATTGTGAGGTTTTGTACCTCCGAGGTTTGTGACTCTGGACCCTGTTAACAGAAACACAGGAGAAAAATCTATCCCCGCATGGATGCCACTGGAATGGTGTTAATTGAGGGCATGGATCATGAAAATATTGCAAGCTTTTGTCACTTGTTACAAGTTGTTGATTTATATGGGAAATGAGAGCTACAAAGGTGTGTTTGTGGATAAGTATTCATGTTTCTCTCTTGGTATAATGGGCTGAGAATAGAGGTGAAAAAGCCAAGAAATGAGAAGAATACAAAAGATACCCACACATCTAGTGAATATTATCTTGTTCAGTAAGTGACATGCTAATTTCCTCTTTGAGCATACATACTGTGGCCCTGCTGAAGTTTATTATCAAGTAAATTAAACTGGAACCTTTGGTATCTCAGTCAGTCCAGAGAATAAATGCATTTCATTATTATTTAAAAAAAAATAGAAAAGAAAATTGATTTTATTTTCAAAAACAGGTGGAGTGATGCATGCTGTCTGTGTTGTATTTAGGTACTTTATCATGCAATTGCCCATCTCTGCATGAAGTTGCTTAGAAGCTAAAGCAAAACAGCAAAAAAATAATTAGAAATTCTAATTTCTTAAAAGCTTGTCACTTTGACTGTATATTAACTGTCTTAAAATGAAGTGATGGGTGAAGGATGAAATATGCTAACTTTTCCCCATGTCTCTGAGCTACTCCTGAAGATAAAGTTCTGCTATATTCACTGTGCTTATTTCAAAAGCATACAGCAAAGTGTTCACAAAACTGTGATCTAAACTTAGCTTCCATATATGAGACTTCAGTAAAGAGTGAAAAAAAATTGCCTCCAGTTCCAAAAGACAATAGTTTGGTCACTGAGAGTTCATAGTCTTTATGCAGTAGAGTTGCATTTTTAAATATGTCCTAAAGTAAAAAAACCAAAAGACCTAGACATGAGTATTCAAACCAGCAATCATGGTTGGTTTATTTTGAAGCTGGACTGCAAGGCATGTGTGGTTGTCTTGGTAATTTTTATCTATATTTCTCAGAGTTCCTCAAGTATTTATATTTTTATGAATTTATTTGGATTTCATTTGAAGTAGTTCAAGCACTATATGCTAGGGAAGACAGTAGAAGGTTTGGCATAGAGGAGATGTCAGTTATTTAGCTGTTGTGACATTCAATCTTCTTTTATTCTTTCTAAATCAGACACAATAAATCAGGTTACAATGAACTTGACTCCCTAAAATCTATAAAATTTCAGTAATTCCTTAAAATCAAATTGTTTTGCAAACTCCTCAATAGGCTATGCAAGAGAATTTCTCTGAAATATTAATATAAATAGTCCTTGAAAACAGAATTATTAAGTCTTTTTCAGGTAGTGGTCTGGGGTTTTGGTGTTGTTTTGGTTTTCTTTTTTTTTTCCAAAAGTGTAGTATTTCCTTAGAAATAAACAAACTTTTCTGCGGCCATTGCTGAACTGACTGATGGCTCCATGTGGGTGTTGCTTATTGTGGTTATGCAAAAGAAATCATGAGTCACAAGCAAGTGGAGGAAAGCAGTTACTGTAGGCACTGCCACCAACCCTGGAAGTGGCAGAGTGCTGCAGGCATGGGGAGAGCTGCAGTTCTCTCCCATTTTGGCTCTTCATCTTTCCTGTAGTGTTGCATTTGACAGGTCATTCAAATGATGAGGAGAATAGCTGCAAAAGAGAAAAAGGAGCTGGGACTGAACTAGACATAAATGCAAAAAAAAAAAAAAAAAAGGATTAGGCAAAAGGAAGAAACAGAAACTGAAAAGTATACTAGTAATGATGAAAGAATTATAGTGAAATTTGATTAGGGACAAGCTTATTACAACCCCCAAACCTAGAGCATGATTTGCCCACCTGTAGCAGCTGTGATGAAGGATAATGTTTTCCCACCTCCTTTTCATTCAAGTGAGACAAACAGGATCAGCAGCAAAGCTGCCTTTGGAACAAGCTTCTCATTCCACTAATCCATCAGCATTATCTCCTGAGCTGCTTCCTTTTCCTGTGAGTCTGCAGCAGATGTAGTTACATTGCAAAAAAAAATCATGGAAATAACTTTCCAAGTAATTTCAGTCAGTACTGTGAGATTGCTTAAGCAATGCTACACTGACCACTTGCACTGAGACCCTCCTCTGAGCCTCTCCCTCTGTTCTGACTCGTGATCAGTGAGGTATCAGCAACAACAGGTGTTGACACAAGACAGAGAAGAGTTGCCAAAACCCCAGGAAAAATTTAAAAATGAGCAGCCAGGTGTGTGCTGTCAAAATAAAAGGCAATAGTGTTAGAAGAGGATATAGCAACACATGCATCTTGTGGTCATGGAGACTTATAAGTATAAAATAAGTGGCCAAAAAAAATTGGTTGTTGTGGATACTAGCTGGATTTGGATAATAGCTGGATTTTGGTTTAACAAAGTTGTTTAATGGAGATATAAAATGAATAAACAAATAAAAAAGAGGTTTGATAGTGCTATGACTTTGATCTTAAATATTACAAATGTGGCTGTCCTCGGACATCTGAAGATCCTCAGCATTCTTAAAGGATGTAGCTGTCCTCTGTTTCTCAGTTGATACACCAAGAAATTATGCTTCAACACAAGTTTACTTCAACACTTCTGATCTTGCTGTGGAACAAAAAGTAATGACTGCAGTGTGGCTCTGTTTCTCAGTTCTAGGCCTGGGTACCAGCAACCCAGAAACCTAACAGAAGCAATTATATTGATTCATTACAGTATCTTGGAGAAATCAATCACCTTCTGGATGCTGGTTTCTATCTCTGTTTGTTGTGAGGATTCACCAACAGTTATGTTAATCACTCTGTACCACCCTCTGTTAGCATTGATTCGGAATGGTCATGCTACCTGATATTACTAAAAAATATTTAGGTGTATTTTTTTGTCATTGCAAGTAATACGGTTTCCATGGATAGAATTATCTCAGATTTTGTATACAAATCCATCAAGGGCTTTTTATTTATTAAAAAAAAAAAGTAGCATTGGCAGATATATACAGCAAAAGTTTAGTTAACAAATGGAGGGCCCTCTTTGGTGCAAAAAATCAATTGAGTACAGTGTGTTACAAATAATCTCAAGACCAAGGCTTTCATTCTGCACTGCCTGTGGCTAGCTCCTACCCCAGGCAGTAACTAATAGTTCGCAGTTTGGCCTTGTTTCTCTGGGATAGCAGAATAGTGCTTAAAGCAAGTTTGAACTAGAAGGAGGCATTAAGACACTGAAGCATATCCCTGAACCTCAGGTAACAAATGGTAACCTGTGTCTGTGAAATACATTAAAGTAGCTTCAGGGCTGCTGTCACTCATGCTGTCTGCCTGCTCCAGAAGTGCCATTAGGGCTGCTGGAGAGAAGATGAATGGAGCGACTCCTCAGCAATTTCTGGTGGCTTAGCTTTGGAGGGGTAGCATGGCACAGAAATAACCACAGTTCTTTTATGACATGGTGATAAGTTGGTTGCATATTAAGCCAGTAAAAACTGGAAACTGAGACTTTTCATCTGGCTGAGAGTTTGAATTCACTCGCTGGATTTTGGTTTAACAAAAGTACCAGTGTCCACAGACTTTCCAATTTGAATATTCCTGAAAAACAAAGTTTTTTTTTTTTCCCTTTACCCTTCAAAGAAATGAGAGACTAGCTGCCAGATTTAACTCTCTTTTGTGATGAAATATGTGCCACCAACTCCTTTCTGTCCCTATACTCTTTAGACTTACCAATTAGTTCCCTTCAGAACTGTTAGGTGAGGAGCTGATGGTCAGAGTATGAATTCTTTCCACTACATCTTGTTCAGATAGGTAGTCAAGAAGATCAAACTGTGTCCTGTAATACCTTCCAAGAGCAACACCTGTTCAAAGAACAGTAGTCTTACAGTTTCCTGACAGCACTTTTCTTCATGAAATTATCCTCCTAATTGATGCCAAAAGCAGAGGTCTACTATTAAGAGTAGGCTGGTGCAGAGCACAGAAGGCAGGGTACTCTGCATGCTTTGAGCAGGCTCACTTTCTTTTCTTAAATGTTTCCTTTAATCCTCCAAACCTCTGCAAAGCCAGGTTTTCTCTTTTCCTGCAAATAGATAATTTTGAGATAAATAAGTGCTAGAAAATTGAAGCACTTTAATGCCCACACCCACCAGACCAATTTTTATGGCATGGCAATGTTTGACAGATAGAAATGCTGTTGGGTTTTCATATGAACCTAAGAAATGAAAGGAAATAAGCTTATAAAAAACTTTGTCTCTGAAACTGCAGGTTGCTTGTGAGATTGACAGTACACAGAGAGTGCTCTGCGCTGAAAGACATTAAATTCTTGGAAAATAGGTATATGAAACTCAGTAAGGAATAAAGAGAAAACTAATGCAGCATTTCAATCTCTTTTTTTTTTTCAGTCCATAAATGTTTCCCTTTATATACTTATTTACGTAGGTGGTGATCTCCTATAATTTTCACAAATTGACACACAGAACATTGCTATGCAGATGGGACAAATAACTATGATAAGTAGAAACAGAACTGACTAAAAACCTTAAACATTACAGGGCAAAGAACATTTTGTCCACCCTTGCATGTATCTGGGTACTACATATATATGTATATACTGTAAGCAAAAATAATCATGTGGTAATCCACAGTCTTATATAACAGTCTTCATAGTTTTGCAATTTCTGCATGCAGGTTTTGCCACACAGCTTGCACTATGGTTTGTTTCTTCATCTCTTTAGGCTGTGTTTCCACCATGCCAAATGTGCAGCAGCAGATAGAATTCCAATCTGTCAGGTTCTTCTTTGTGTTTTCTCTATCCTCTGTGAATTAACATTCCAGGCAAGTATCTTTGTCACAAACAGAAAATGTAAGAAAAGGTAACTTGTATGTGGTGCAATTCAATTCTTGTCACAAAGAGAAAAAAAAAACCAAAACTTTTCTATATTGTTTTTCAATCATATTTCAAAAGCAGGGATAATATCCACAATGGATTTCAAAGTTTCTCTGTTCCCAGATTCATTAATAGGAATTTATAATGCAGAATTGTTATAAGGTATAGTTATCTCAGATACATGGTCCTAAACAACAATACAGTAATTAGCAGTACTGAAAAATGCATCAGAAGAGATATCTTTATTTTTTTGCAAAATTTTGCTCTTAATGTCCCTGAAGTGGCTCAATGCCTTCATCACTAGAGCAGACGTTGACCAAAATTTCATGGATGTGTGATCTATGGTGGTCACGAATATTTAAATATTACATAAACCATTAATTGTCAGGGATATTTGGAGATATTTTTCTCCGTTAAAAAGCCTTAGAAATCTCAGATTTCCTTCTTGAGAGTTTATATTAGTTGTTAAAAAGATTGTTGCATGGAGACCTAATATGTCTAGTGAGCAGCTATGTCCAAACCACACCCAAAACACTTACCTTGTCCGAGGAGCTGATGTATGAACAGTACCCTTCTGCTTCAGAGGTTGGGTCTTGACATTATAAATGGTGCTTATTTTTTGCATCCGCTGTCTTTCAGTCTCCAGAGTTAGCAACAAACCCTTCCAGGCATATTTGTAGGGAAACAAGGCATTCATAGTCACTTTGTTCATTTGAAAATGAAATTAATTAGGCAATGTGCTCTACATGTTTGTCACAAAGGGTAGTATTATTGCTATTTAACCAATGTCTGTCGTTTACTGAAATACTGAAACACATATTTAATTTTAATGTTACTGTCACATCTGAATTGATAAGTTAGGTATGCAAATTTGATTTCAAATGAGAAATTAAATGGCTAATCAGCTGATCGCTGCACTCATAGTGTGCCATTAGCATTTTTGGGTTTACATTATTATTTATTTTTGACTACTGGGTAGTTTTACTCTCACAGCATGTTATTTAATCCAACTGCCATTTTTCTTGTTATACTTAATTAAAACTTATGAAAAAACCAGTAACAAGGGAAATAAAATTACTGTTTTAAAATAGCCTCTTATATACCTTACAGGGTTAGGAACAATGCTAGATAAACATGTCTGTGGTGTAAGATACCACACATACACCTACAGCACACAGGCGATTCTGTTGAACTAGAACTATTTTCCACTGAGTGCTAAATTTATATGAATGGGGTAGAACAAATCAAAGACAGTAACTACTTGGTTTTTTACTTTTCCAGCATTAGTGCTTTGGATTGGGTTCCATTGTATTGGGCATTCATTGTACAGCCAAGCTACCAGCTGGTCCATTGAACTGATGACAGGTTACTCCGGAGGCATGTTAGTGGAGGATTTTCTTATATCTGGTTCTCTAGTCTGATCTTCAAAATACAATCGTCAGATTATTGTTCTCTCTGGAAAGCCATCAGCAGATTGTTGGAATTTTTTCCCCTGTAACTTATTTTTTTGTACTGTATATGAATTTGGAAGAATGCTAAGAAGAATGTTTAAGGCTCTTATAAGCCACTAACTTTCCTTTTTTAAAGAGGGAGATCGGGGTAGAGAAAGATTGGAGGGAATATACATTGTCAGAACTATCTTTTTGCCTAGAAACTCCAGTAATTCTTGGCTTGGGGACAAATTTTACATTTAGTAAGGAGCAACTTCTTTATACATGAAAACCCACACATACTTGATAAGTCAATGTAGACAGATCACACATTTTGAAATTCCAGAATATAAATGCCTTGAAAATGTCATTTTCTCTGAATGTGGAGTGGAAGGAGATATCTTCCTGCCATTGCAGTTCTGTGCTTCTGTGACTGTACATGGTGTACACCCCCACACTGGATGAGCTGTGTGCCTTGATCCAGCAGTTTGCAAAAAGCTAACCAGATATGCACAGGGAACAAGGCAGAGCTGAGGCAAAGACGCTGGAAAGATGCATGGCAAACAAACTGAGAAAGTTAGATTGTGAGTTGGACTCGGGGACAAAATTGGGAATTTGGCATAGAGCTTCTGTCACAGACTTTTAAATGTTTTTGGGCAAGAAAATATTTAAACCAGGAACCTTTGAGAGTAGCCAGTGCTCTTGATCTCTCAAGCAGCTTGCACAGTGGTGTAGAAAGTGGTGAAATTTGGAAAAAAAAAAAAAAAAAAGTAGAAATTAGTCTGAAAAGAAGATCCAGTGCTAGCAGGACAGCAGCAACTTCTTAGGCAGTAGTAGTGGGCAGGTACCTGGAAAAGATTCAGAGTTTAAAAGACAACTGAATACCTAGTGAGACAAGAAAAAGACAATTAAGCTACCAGGAAGGGAAAATGAGACTAGTTAACAAGACTACTGGGTGAGAGAGAAGGCAATGCAGCAGTGAGTGGGCAGCAGTGCAGAAAAGTAGAGGAGGGATGGTTATGCAAATAAACTGGGAGTAGGATGAGACATTAGAATACTTTTCTGGGACTAATGAAGTCAGAGGCTGTGTCTTAGGAGCAACCAGGTGTACAGAAGAGGAATTTGAGGAGCATGGGCACACTGAATCAAGTTTGGAGAATGTGGAGAACAAAAAATCGAAGCCTATTTCCAGTAAAGCACACTTTTCTACAGAGCTTGGCACTGAACCTGAGATCCAGGGTCTCTTACATACAATAGTATGCTATTGTTTCCAATAAAGGCCAGGTGTCAATGAATTTGCAACAGATGTCACCTGTGTCAGTTTTCTCAATTTAGACACAATTATAATGAGGACTGAGCAGCTTGATCTGCTTTAGGTGTGATTGCACCTGACCAGAGACCCAGGAAGGGCTCAGTTCATACCAATATCACTGACTCCAGTTATACATTAGGGTTAAATAAAAGCTCATGTGTTACAACATACTACAGTATATAAATACATGTATCAAAAATGTGTTCTACACTGGTGTCTAGAATATCCCCTTATATGTGGGAAACAGCTGAAATTATTAAACCAGAAGCTGTACTGACTGCATTAAATGGCACTCTTTGGCATAAAAAAACCCAGTTATTTCTGCTGACTCTTCTCCATTCTGACTAAAACAGTTAAAACATCCAGTTGAAGCAGCATCAGAACTTGTTCCCTAGGTTTTGCACCTACTACCCATAAGTACGTGTCCATGAATGCTCACCTGTTAAGTCTGAAGCTGTTTCTGCTTCTCTGGTTCAACAAACACATGTCTATGTCACATTTTCTGTCAAGCAATGGGAAATAGGTTCCACTGGGGGTTGGTGAATAAGCAAGTCTGTGAATTCTTCTCTTAGATAATGGGCAGAGAACATGAGGCTATAGAAACCTACAAAAGGAGAGGGTCCAGTATATGGAGTCTGGGTGTTGGTCTATCCAGCTTTAAACCAGTACTTTGCTTTGCACTGATAGTGCTTTCATCCCTTGTCCTCCAGAGTCTGACCTAGGACATGTGCTTTGATTTCCAGGAGTACCATATGAACTTCACTATAACTGATGCAATAGCAGCTACACTGGGGTGGATATAGTGCATAAGTCTGACTATTTTGAACATTTAGGCTCTGGGGTTCAGACTGAGCACCCAAACATTGTGTGGGCTGCACGCCTGGGCTCTCTGGCTGTCAGAGGGAATTAACACCACTCCTGACAATGCCCAAGGCTGCCCTGTACACAGTGTGTGTTAAACATCCAAACTGTATTTTGAAGAGCACCAGATAAAAACCTTTAAGGAGATTAAACTTCAGAAGGGTTTGTTTTATGTGTAGTACCTGAATCCAAAATCTAAAAATGAGGAGAGGGAAAATAGTCGCAGTCAGTTCATTAAGTGAGATGGGGGGGGAAAAAAAAGAGTATGTAACAGTTAAATTGGGCAATATATCATCTTGTAAATGTGCATGATATTGAGTACTATAGCATTAATTTCTTCATTTCCAAAATTTTGAGTGCTAGACGTTGTGATCTGTTAATATAATTTTGCATTTTTTTTTATATATATTACTTATAATCTGACAGATGGCAAGCTTTTGCAATTATTATCCCTTTATTTCCTCAGAATGCAACCTAGTAGTTTTTGGAACATATGCCTAAGGGAAATGTTGGCTGTTTCAATAGTTGTGTAAGTTAAAACTGTAGCATACAATATAATGTAAAGGACAATCCTATAGTGATAAGTCAGAGGACCATATGACTTCATAGGGCTTTTTCTATTTGTGCTTTGTGTGGTTCTGGAAAAGGGAGTTAGCTTTTCTCTGTGTTATCCTGCTGCTCTGCCTCAGGGAAAGACTGGACTTGGACAGGATAAATTCATTTTCATTTGGACTGTGTCTCTCTCCCTTTCTCCCAGAATCACATTTGAAGTTGCTGTGTTATGTGATCAAAAGGCATGTGATGCAGAAAGGCAGTCAGCCCTGCTACCATCAGCACAACTGTGTACAATACAGATGGTACTAGGGATTATGGAGATACTATCTGACCAGTAAAGAGAAGAAAAGTGTCCAGTCTTTAATAAAATTGTTGTATCAATAGGAGTGGAAAAACTTTTGATCAGTGTAGGCAACATAACACTTAGCAGAAAGCTTACCAATTAACTTCTAAACGCTAGATGATGGGGAGGAAGGAAAAGGGAAAATGTTTACCTTCTGAAATCAAATGCATTTTCTTCCCAGGGCACCAAACATCCCACATAGAAAAATCTTCCTTCGGCTAACATGCATTGCCCAACTCCCAATATAGTGCCAAGTTAGTCAGAGAGAATCAGCCTTCCCAAAATTAGCCCCTGCCTACTTATTGTCTTTGGAGTTTAGCAGTGAAATTGAGAGCATCTCAGTTTGTATGATTGGGATTTTTTTCCCTTTCCCTTTCTGTCCATCTTCAGTTGCAGAACTCTTTCAGTTGCAGTCTCTCTGTATCATGTGTCTGGACCCTTTTTTCCTCTGTAAACTCAGAACATTCAGGTTTTGGTCCAGTTGGCAGGACTGCTGATACATGAACTGTTCTCAGTCCTCCTGATGTGCCTAGAGCTGCCTGAAGGAAAAAAAGTGTTGCTGTTTGAGCAGGATAACTAGCAAGGGATAATCTTGGCAAAAAATAATTTTTTTAGCATTGTGAATTTTGACATAATTTTTTGATTACCTGCTCTAGAAATAATGTATTTCTTAACTGCAGAAATGTGTGTAATGCCTACTCCAGTTAAGTTTTGGAAACATTTATCATTCTGATGCTGTTTTCAGGTGCTCGTAGCTTTAAGGAAGTATTCAAATTTCATTTTTCAACCCTACTTAGCTAATGACAGCTAAAGACACAATGCCTTCTGCTGGTAATCATGTAGAGGGATGTGGTATTGTGGAGAAAACAGTGTTCTACAACTTGACAAGAAAAGCAGGAGATTTGATCACTTTAATTTAATGGACACAGCCCATTTATTCTTCTTCTTTACTAAAGAAGAAACACCCTGCCTATTAGGACTAGGTACGTACTACTTGGCTGATGACAGATCATGAGTCTAATTGTCCTAACCACATCTCCATTGTTGTCTTCTGTCTTCTTACAGCAGCATAAAACTTGTCTATACAAAAGCAGTGTAACAAAGATTAACCTCATGAAGCAGTAATATCATTTTCTATTCTAGAAGGTCTCCACAGCCTTCAACAAAAGCTGTCTTGTGTCTTTCATTATTCCTTCGTCCCATGGCACACAGTTGTCCAACCTTTGTCTTCAAATTTCTCTCTACCATAGAGAGAAATTTGTATTGGTCTACCATATGTAGACCAATACATATATCTCCTCTGACTTTTCTTTAGCTTCCTGAAGCTGGAAGGGAGGACAGGAAAGAGTTCCCCCTGAATGGACCAGCCAAAAATGTGTTTACTATGGATGATACCACTCGCTTCTGCAGGACTTAAAACATCATTTAGTATTGTTATTGCAAAATCATGTTTATCAGGGAATTCAACTGACTGTCTGAGAACTCCTTTTGAAATTGTCTATTGTGTGGCTTTGATCAGCTCACATGTTCTTTTCAATCTAGGAGAAAAACATCTATAAACCGTCTGCAAACTTACTTTAATATTGCAGCTGATAACAAAGAAATCTATGCAAGAGAGAAACACACTTCTGCAATTGTCCCAAAATGGTATTCTCTTTGGAATTCTAGTTCAGACTGCTCTATACAGAGGTATTTTGGAGGCTACCTGATCCAACAAAACCTGAAGCAGTCGCTCCTTAAATGCTGTCCTGGTGTTTAACAAGTGCCACCCTTGGTCAAGGGAATAAGAAGTTTCTCCTGTACAAGGTAACATGAAATGAATTTGAAAAATGATCTGCCACTTGTGTTTGTGGGAAAAAAATCTATGAGAGCTTTGTCATGGTCAGGAGGGAAGATTAATGGCAGCTGGGACTTGAGTTAACCAGTGTTGAAACCACCAAACCAATTAAATAAATGGAAACATTTAACAGAGCCTGTATCAATAAATACAGATGAATATTAAGGCAGACCTGTAAGATTTGGAGTGGGGAGAAATAAAACAGTGTAAAGAATAGAAAATTCTTAGAGGAGAAGAGTTTCGCTACATTTCTGCTGCTGATCACCCAGAAGGATTTGGCATTAAAAGGAAAACTGCTAGGACTTGTACAGATAAGCTGGAGCTGTATTATTTTTCCACAATATATCTATTTTACCTTTCTCTACTATTTTTCAGCTTTAATCTTCACATAGCTTTTACATGTTTTGGGTTTGTGTTGTTTGTATTATTGACTCATAATAGAGAACACACATGAATTCTTGTGTTTAATTACATGATCAAGGCAAAGTTCATGATTGGATTTTTAAATGTACAGCACCACAGGATAGTTAATATAAACATGGGCACTGCCTTTTCCCTAGCTCAATTCTTCAGTGTGTGGAAATTCCTTCTAGCTGTGTATCTAGCTATGACTATCCTTGTGACTGAGGAAGTTTCTCTGGACTAGTTACTTTCTGAATTTTCCCAGAGACCCTGTTTATAACTTTAAAAGACAAGGCTGTTGATCATGACAGGAGTCTTAGGACTGCAATTAGGCAGCTGTTAAGAGATGTTTTACTGATGTTGTGGATGTATCTTTTAAGAGCATGTGAAAGTACTGGGCAGTGCTTAAAGTGAGGTCTGACTGTGACAATAAGGAGTACTGTGGTGAAATACAAATACTGAGGATTAGTAAGTGGATACAAAGATATTAAAATTCTTACATCAAAGAAAGTGGTGCTCAAAAACCATTTATAGTCTGGTGTGCTGGAGGAAAGAGCATCTTATTCAGATTGGAAATTTTGCAGAACTTTGGAAAAAAATAATGATTATAAAAATCATGGGTCATTTTTTGTCTTTCAAATAGCTGAAAATGGGAATACATATTCAGACTAAGAAATGGAATAATTTGTGTCTTTCTCCTCCAATTCCTGGCCACAGCATTAGAAACTGATACATACACACACACACATATGCACAAGATTTTGAAAATATATGACATTTTCTTAAGAACTTGATTTCTGAATGGAAGCCAGTTATCTTTGGGGTCCCTTTCATTGATAAGGGAACACTACTGGAAGGGCTCTAAACAAGCTTCCTTCTATAGAATACTAATTGAATTCAAGTGTCCCTCTGAGCTGAAAGACAGGAGAAATTAAACAGAGCCTCATGCAGTAAATTCACCTTGCTGTATCTCAGATTCAGTAAGTTGGTGGATGGTGTGGCCTCAGAGAGGTTCAGCTCACTGCTAAGGGGAATTGTTCAGCTGAGTGAGACCAGAGAGGAAAACAAGCAAACAAACCACCACCAGCAACAACAACAATGAAAACTGCTTCTTCTAATTACAGACTGAACTAAAAAGGATCAAAATTTACTCTCTGCAGCTGATGTAGTTGCTTATAAAATTGTATATTCTACACTAACATAATTTGGAGCAGTTTGAAAGTTCATTTCTCTTTTTTAGTTCTAAGAGGCACTTTTTTATTGCTTTATAATGACATGAACATTAAAATGTTCAATACTTTTAGAAGTTAAGTAGGAAAATAAGTTTGGTTGCTGCCTCCCTCTCTTTCCCAGGAGGCCAATGGAGCACCTGTATATAAATAAGAACACAGCTTTGACCAGTTATCAGAAAAGAGGGGGAAATATCCATTACTTAGCAAGGAAATAGGTTTTAAAATTAAAATCTAGTGTGGAGGCAATACGAAAATTGACTATGCCAAAAAGATTGGCATAACAAACACAACCACATTGTCTATTGAATTTTGATCCCCTATTTTATCCTTAGGACTCTTGAATTGTCCTACTGTAGCTCGACAACACCACAAAAATTAGTGTAACAATTATTTTTGTTTCAGATGTCCTTTAGTTTTCAAGCTAGGTAAGTTTTATCAAGGTAACCATTCTGATAGAATATTATTATGTTCTTAATCATGTTGTGAAAATCACTGCAGTGATTCTTTGTCCTGTTCTTGCTGTGCTTCACAGAGCTAATATATTATATTGGCATGAATACTTGTATAACATCATTTTCACTAAGGGAATTCTGAAATTTTAACTTTTCTGGCATATTCTAAACATGCAAAATATTCTTTAAAAGGACAAGACAGTAAAAAGTTTCTCTTTACTGTCTCTCCTTTGGCACATTAGATTTTTGTTTTGTAACTTGTGTGAGTAGTCGTCTGTGTGATGACTCTTGAAATTAGTAAAAGAATTTCACCAGTGTTGACCCTGGGACTAGCAGAAGTCCCTTCTCAGACAGAACTCAGGTCTATGCCTTCCCTGACTACTCATAACATCAAAGAAGACCCATTTTAAATTAAGAGGCTGTAATAATCTCTAGAGACATTTCCTAATAATTGCATCTATATGTAGGAATAGGAGGAATTTATAGGTAATACTCTATGCTTCATAACAGATAAGAATCGATGGGAATGTCAACTGTTTTTTGCAAATATAATCCCCCTAAATGTTCATCTGTCAATTAAGAGAATTCCTCAGAAAGTGGCAGTGAACAGCTGAGAGTATAATTGTAACACGCAATAGAATTATGGAATTACTTGGTTTAGAAGGGACCTTAAGGATCATCTAATTCCAAATGCCCTGCCATGGGGGTATAGTTTCATTATAGTTGTCTAGTTTTACAGTTTCATGCTATAAGTCTAAAATAGACTTTTATTACTAATTCCCAACTGCAGATGAACTTAAACTGCGTAATTCTTAGTGCATTAGGAGAGTATCTAGATGATGAAGGGTAGCTTATACCAAGTGAGACTTGAAGGCGCTATCAATTTCTTTGCACTATTGAATTGTTTGCTTAAAAGAAAATAAAACCCCGTGTTCACCCTACATGACAGCACAGAATAAGTGAGGATGTTTTTCTGTTATGGCTGAAAAGAGCCCCTGCTCTGGGTGCTGCTGGGAATAATGGAGTTTTGTTGGCTCAGCGTGGTGTGTCCATTTAAGACACTGGGATGGGAATTTCACTGAGACTATTATTAGAGCTCCTGTCTTCCCATCATCTCAAACAAAAACTGAGCCAAACCAGTGGGAAAATGCATAACTCACAGTCACATTGATAGGCAAGATTTTTTAATTTTAAAGCAGTGACAAGCACCCAAGCCACATTTTTAAATGTTTTGTGCTTGCTCAAAGGCAACTGGGTTATTAAAATAAGGTTCTTATTAGTTAAGCTTTGTATCAACTCAAGCAGACAGTTTTATCTGATCAGGATATGAAAAGAGTTTCTTCAAAGAACTTGAAAAATAAGCCAAATGTCCTGATCCCCAATGTCATGTGCTGCAGAGTAGGGGTATCCCAGTGGCTTCCTGCAGCAGATGACAGTAAATTATTTTTCTGTTCATTACCATATTAAATGAGAATAATGCTTTTCTCTCCTATTCAGAGACACTTTGCTGGATCGTTCAGCATAATTAGTTTAAAATATACTATTTTATCAGAACATAGCTGACTAATTTCCTAGCTTAGGAGACCCAGGTAAGTGAGGATAAAAGCTTTCATTGTCTGCATAAACAGAAAATGTCTCATAGCTTTTCAAATAACTTCCTTTAAAAGAATCTAGGTAAATGAAGACAGAAGTACCTGTTCAATATTCATTCAGTGAAAAGCAGAGAGATTTCTGCTCTGTCTTGTTTTTGAAACAATGTTAGAAGCTGTCCTAGTATAATGGTAATGAGCCTAATGAATTGTCACTGGAGATTAATTTGGTCCTGGTATCTCTGTTTTCACCTGCCAGAAAAAAAATGTTTTTAATCTAACTTTATATATTAATCACTCACAGACAAGGAGACAAGTCCTGGAACCATTCTCTTCTTTATATGGACTTTCTAATTCAGCTTGTTACAGAATGAGGAGAAAGGAAAGTCAAGATCATTCAATTTTTGTAATGACTTTGAATCAGTTCCACAGATTTTATCATGTTTACCCCCAAACTCAAGAATTTCTAGCTGGATTAAACATTGCGTGATAAAATGCATAACTTTAAAAGTATATTTGGAGCATGGAAAAATAAAAAAACACCTTGGAAATTTATTTGCTGAATTGTGTACAAATGGTTGCTTCAAAAGAAATTTGGGTTACTTTTAAATATCTTGAATACTCTGACTTTCAGATTCGTGGGGAAAGTGCTGTGTTCATCCTCTGCCTAGACAGGCATGATACCCCTGCCAGCACTGAGAGAGTGTCCCTGCAGTGTCCAGGAAAAGGGCCTGGGATCTCTGGGCTGGCAGTGGCCAGGGAGAGGCTCTGAAGGCAAGGCTGTGCTCTCATCCTTCTGGCACATCTGACAGGCTCCAGATCCCTGTGCCCAGATTAGAGGGAAATATGTTGGATTTAAAAAGTATTTTCTTCTGTCTACATTTACTATGGCCTAAGATTTTTCTTGGGAAATATGTAACTTCCACAGTCTCATGGCTTCCAAATTCAGTATTGATAGCATGCATCTCCTGGAGAGCTTTAATTTAAGATTAATTCTGCCAGGTAGCCTAATTTGGAAGTTAGATTAAAGCGATCTTTCTTTAATCAGTAACATTTCTCTCATTAGTGGAGACTTGTCTTTATCGGATGCATTGACTTGCAGACCTAGTGGAAATTATTTGTTGTTTTAGCTTGTTCTAAAAATGTCTCATTATATAATACACATTTCAATATCCTGCCATTTTGAAGGTGTATTTTTGCGATTTCTCTCTTCAGAGGGAGGTAGGTTTCTCTTCTCTCATCACAATGGAATAATTGGTGGGCTGGCATGAATGAGTCGTGAGCTGCATACATCAGGGCTACTTAAGTCAACTTAAAGTCCTTCAAACCTCAGTTGATAATTAGAAATAAGAGTATAGGCAGGGTCCTCAAATCCTGATTAGAAATCACTTAAAATAATTACAGAAGGAATGAATGCAATTTGAAATATTCTTACCCTGGTAGGCTAATCCTAGTTGGTGAGCAGAAATCTCCATAAAATATGCTTGAATTTGATAATGTAAAATTTCAGATTACATGTTTAAAAAAAAAAGTCATTGCTCAGATATACAAAATAGCCCCAAGCAGATGCAAATAAATGTCAGCAGTAAGTTAACCGTCTTATAGTGTTTAACAATAGGCGTTATGTTCTCTATTACACTATATAGAATTGCTATTATTACATTGTCTTTAATAGTGGAAATATTACTTTGATAAACCAGCTATATTTAGGCATAACAGCCCTAACTTTTTTATCATTCATGACAGTCACTTGCAAAGCACCCATGTGATTTCATTATATGAGTCTATTTGCACTGTCATCTCCTCATATTTTAACCTGAATTTTCCCCCATGTATGCAATTATTTCCTCCTTTTATTTTTCCTGTTTTGATTTCTGCATTTGTGAGACACTGATTGAGAATCACAGCTGTTTGGGAATGAGGTTAAAAATATCTGCTTGGGCCAACTGTAAAGCTTTTATTTTTGGAGACCCCTTGTATTTTCCAAAAATCTTCTGAACAGTATCACATTATGGAGCACTGCTGTCATCTCAAGGCCGCCTTCCATAAAGTATTGACCATTAGTACACTATCTGTCCTACTGCATCACTTACATGATTCATCAAGAGCCAAGAAGGAACAGTTTGATTTTTCTGGCTAGTACACAATCATCCTTAATGTACTTACTAGGATTTAAATTCAAAGCCAGGTATTGCAAGGATTTCAGATAATACAATGTCTTTAAAATCTTTTGTGTTTTCATTGAGAGCTGTAGTTTAAGCCATATGCATCCTACACCTCCTATTATGACTGGTTTTTAGGTTTTTTTTGTTGATTCCTACTTGCTCTTAGAATTTGCATTGACCTGGGAATAGATTTGCAGCTTTGTCCTGATCTTGTCATTGTGTAGATGGCAGAGCAGTACTGCAATGATATTTTACTTTCATAGTAAACCATTTTTCACTTCTTCTCCAAATCTGTAACCTATCAGGATTTCTAAAGAAAAAAAAAAAAAATTAGTAACTCTTTCTCTTCCTGACAACAGAAATGAGAGCAGCGACTTATGTTTATGCTCCTACTGAATTTTGTTTTTTTAAATTATATTTATGTAGCACAGAATGAGAAGAGAACTTCTTCTGGAGAGATATCCATCCTAATAGGTAGATGTTCGTGCTCCTTTCCAGGAGGACTCTGTCTGTCTGATGGATCCTCATGCGCGCCTCTTGTCACAGCTGTTTCCTGTCTGCTTTGTGCTGACCCATTTTGGCTTTGTGCAACAGGAGGCCAGGAAAGCATTGGCAGGATTGCATACATATGTCCAGAAGTTCCTTAAACCTGTGGAAGGATCTTAAAGTATGTGCATTTTGCTGACCCAAGAGCCAGACTGACTCTCAGAAACCTGCAGCCTAAGATTTCTAACCTGTGTCAGAGCACAGTTTCGGATCTTCCATTCTGGGGTGTCCACAGAAGGTGACTGCAAAAAGTTGTGGCTTTGAGCTGGAGGCAGTCCTCATGTCTTCATGTTGTCCAGGAAAGTGGAGTCATCATTCCTGGATGTGTTTGAGAAGCAACTAGACATGGCACTTGGTGCTATGGTTTAGTTGACATGGTATTTTTTCCTCAAAGTTTGCACTTGATCATCTTGGAGGTCTTTTCCAATCAAAAGGATTTTATGGTTCTGTGATGTGAGAAGCAAACATTTCTGATCACTTAGCTCATTTATGGAGAGCTCTAGGTCAATCCAGTGAAGGAGTACACAAGAAGACAGTGTTGATTCTTTATTTAGGGTTTGTTTAAGCTTAGATAGGTTTATAACAATTTTTATAATAAAATCAAAATTACAGGAACAGAAAAACATGGCTATTTCAGGATATTTCACCAGGAACTTCTCACCATGCATAAACTAGTTGTAATTAATATATCTTATTGATCTCAATAGAGGAAAAAACAGTGCTGCAAACTTCCTTGGCTGAATGAGGAAAGGTTACCTTTTAAGGGAACAAAATAGAAATGTGTGTGTTTAGTGACACACTGTGTTGGCTATATATCTGTGGACCTTTACATCACTTAAGTACTTTTCCTGTGCTTGAAAATATAGATGGTCAAAATTTCTTTGTAGAGTGTGTCATAAAAGACAGTGGTCAAACAGGAGTGATGCATGCATGCAGAAGCTCTTAGCAATATTTATTTTACCTTTTAAAAAAGAAATTTGATTTGCAGGTAATCTCTAACTTCTTTTTCCTTTTGAGATTACTTTGGAAAAAATAGGGGAAGATAAACTACATATCAACTTATGACTGTTTTTTAAAAACTAGGTAGAATTTTGTGAATGTGTCAGAATATTCTGCTCATTTATTCTGCATGCTATCTTAGTTTGAAATTCTCAGGATGAAATATCTCTTTTTCCTCTATTATCTGAGGCTGTCTACTTCTAAGAAATTCATGCTGATATCATTCGTAGAAGGATGATACAACAGGAAGTATTTTCATTCTTGGTTTGTTACAGAAACGAGTTTTAATTTCTTTTTAAAGACCGATAATAAAGATGCACAAAAATGTCCTCTATCCCAATGAAATATTGAGATCAAATTGTAAGATTAAGTTTATTTTTTTCTTCCCTCATCTTAATGGGTATAGTAAGTACTAACCCTTCCTAGAGCACAGCATGGGCATATGGCAGAAGGTCAGCTTTGGATAATTGCCATTCTTACATTGTTTCTTTGCCAAAACATTGCTATTGAATTTTAGAAACATTAATTTAGAGTTTTAAATGCAGAATGTCAGGAATATATCGGAGGAAGGCTTGTTGATGAAGTTTTTATATAGGATCTGTTATAGACGAGAATCCTCAAATATCACTTTTGTTGTGGAGCCAGCTTTTAAACTAAACCCCACAGTGTTGGCTAGACTATGCAATTCCCAGTGGAGCAATAATGAGACTGTGCGCAGCTTCTGCATCTGACCCTCCATTTAGTGCCTCACATAGAGTGTACCTGGCTTACTTTCAAGCCTTTACACAAACATGTCATTTTCTGCAAAAAGCTTCAGTCTTGCTGGCTCCACCATGGATTCCTAGCACCAACTCGCACCTGTAACGCCTACAAACGGGACATGATGTTTATTGGGTGACTTCAGTTGTTCCTTCCAGCCAGGAGGAAACCATCAGAGTATGGCCATTATAACTCCACCCAAAGTGCACTTAATGTCTGGACAAACCTTCACCTCCAGTCTGGGAACATGTTTGGTGGTAAAGTGAGAAGCGGTACAAGGAGACACTTAATCCTTTCTAATATCAATTCCCATGAGAGAATTTTTCTTTCTAACAGAAACTGTTTCCACTTAGCAAGGCATTTCTGGAGCTTTTGACATGGCCAAGGGAAGGTACAACTGCTCAGCTGAATTGTTCAGGCGTCACCTGACTCACAGCTGGGGCCACCTCAGCAGTCACATCTGGTAACATCTGCAGACCCTTCTTCTGGACAAGGTGTGACAACATCCTGCATGTGCCAGGCCAGAGCAGCTCTCCATGCACAAAAAGCTCCAGCAGAAAGTCTCCAGGCCTGCTGTCTCCATGGGGCTATTTGGCCTTTGCCCTGGTGCTGCTTACTGCATCTCCCTCTGTCCACATATTGGTTTTCCACCCTGATGCCTGCAAAGGACATTGCAAAAATGTTGTGGCTCTTTTCCTTGAGGTCTGGGTAAGTACATTTGTAGGAGTCTTTCTTCTTCCACTTTTGAGTCCTGAGATCCTAATCTACACCCATCTCATTTCATTCCTGACTTATTTAAACATATGACCTGTACTTGTTGGCAGAAATGAAAGTTTTGATCCGAGACAAGGGGTTTTGAGTGTTGTGTACTACCAGCAGAAATCACCACTTGTGAAGAGTGCTTCACAATTAAAGACATTGCAGCCCCTCATGGTATTTACATCCTCTAATAGAGGAAAGCTACAAAAAAAAAAAAATCTGAAACTGAAAAATCCTATTCACTATACATGAGGTTGCATTTTAATATATGAAAATTAATAAAATGACAGTTTGAGAGATGGAAATATATATTTTAGATAATATTTTAATATGAGTGAGTGAAGATAAAATACATACCATGTAGTCAGATAAATAGAAAAGTCTCCTGCACTTACTTGCCAAGCATACATGCAAATAATTGCATTGAAGTGGAGCAATATTTATACCAGCTGAGAATTAATACCATGTTTAGCAGGATTCATGGAAAAATGGATACATTGCTTCACCTGTGAGATGTATTCTTAGTTCGATAAAGGCCAAAATTATGAAGAATTACTGAAAAATATTTTAACACCTTCTGTTAGGTACAGTGTGATGATAATGTGCTAATGGAAATCAAACAGTATGAGTTGAAAGTAGCTGTAATCTTCATGCCTGTTAATAGTTGTAAAATCACTGACATTAACTGTAATATCATTCAGGATGGAGTTTAAGACATTGGTGGGCAGATGGAGGAAAGGTGAATTAAATCACATTTCCTTTGAGAACTGCATATAGTCCTTTGCTTTGTCTTTCATGCCTTCTCTCACACTAAAAAGAAATCTCAACCTTTTTATTATGATTATTAGTCGTATTAATAGTAATAGCAGTAGTAGTTGTAGTAGAAGCCACCAGTTTCAACTAAATTTGGCAGAAAACTGAAGCTCTCACGATTATTTAACTTTGTCAAGTCTTATGGAGCTGTGACACTGTTGCAGTAGGCCCAGTAAAGAAAGGCTAATGTGAGCTCACCAAGCAATGCTTTGTCTAGTAAACAACCTCCATATGCTTTGGTATTTCTTGTACCTTCTAACACAACAATTGCCCACAGAGCACTGACCTGTAGGAAGACAGACCATTTGGTTTGGTGGCTGAACCAGTTTTTTAGTTCACAGGGGATATTGCTCAAAAATTTAATCCTAAACTATCAGTAGAAATATTGCAATTTTGCAATATGTTGTGAAATGGCTGGGTCTTGATTTTATTTTATCTTATTCATTTTATTCATTTTGTTTTATATCAATGGTGTATTCCTAAGTGACTGGTTGAACAATATGCACAATTTTGGTTCTTTCTTAAAAGAGAAAAGCGAATTTCCACCTATTTCTTTTCTGTCTGAAGCTGTAACACTGGTTCTGCTGTTATAATTCTATTTCAAATACTGATATACAGAGCTATTTCCATGAAATTCAGCATTAGGAGTGTCAGGGGAAAAAATGGTGAAGAATACGAGATGTAAAGCAAAACTTTTGCTAAGCAGGGTGAGTCTTTAACAGTCTCCAAAAGCTGGTAGTTGAACTTTAAAGATTGTGTATACTTCAGCAGGCAAAAGGTGAGCTTCAGCAAACCTTAGACTAAGTGGCACTAATGCTAAATGCACATTGCCCACTTCTGTAAAAAGAGCAGTGAAAAAAAACCTCAAAATCACACTTGCTTAAGGATTTAGGAAAAAAGGTGACTTGTAGGTGGATGACATTTAAGCATCATATAAATAAGTGAAGTTTGCTGAGGAAATTTGAATCTCTTTAAGAAATTGAATTAACACGGAAGAATCAATAAGTCTTAAACCAACAAAGGACCCCATTGCAATATCTCATTGATAAGGCATTTTGGCTCTACGATATCTTTATTTTTAGGAAATTTCTATGATGACTCATTAATGTAACTTACTTCAGTATCATTTTCTCTTTTATGTCCCACAGGAATTGATTCACAATGATAATTAAATACATTTACTCAAGGAAAAAAATGTAAGTAAAAACAGAATGATGTTCCAGATACATTAAATATTACCCACTTTTAATAGGAATGTATTTAGCAGCATATGAACCTCATTTACTATGAAGTGTAGATGAAGTGAAGATCTGCAGGTACAGCATTCACGATTCTTGACAATATCAAGCAATCGTACTTGTAAATCAAGTTACTTTTCTTCTCAGTATTCTTTACAAGAATCACTTACAAGAGATGCTGTTTTAATATTTATTTCAGCATTTTTAAAACAAATCTTCAGGTTGTGAAATCACATGCATGTCACTGGCTTTATCTTCAAATTGGCAGCTAGTGTATTTTTTCAACAAGTCTCAGTTTATAGTTAGCTGGTCACGTTAATTATTTAAACACCCAGTTAGTTTGCCCTTCTCAAGGGAAGATAGTTTTCTACATCTTGCTCTCCTACAGCCTCTCTGTACATCCTTTCTCCTGACAAATTGAGCTAGTGGCTGTGCTAAGGTTTCAGCCCTGCTGCCAATCACTTTATTTTCGGATAAACAGAAGCAATTTACCTGATGGCCAGAACATGTATACCGTTCAGCTTTGTCAGAAGGAAGATTTGACAGTCAAAAGAATTGTGGTGGCTACAGAAGTATATGATGTCCTTGGCCATGTCAGTTCACAGGTATCCTTTCCTTGCTTGTTTTTTGATAAGTTTAGCACAATTCATACCCTGTATGTGATGTGGGGTCATAAGACTATTGCTACAGTGTTCAGCTGCTAGTGCTTTGTTAGAAATTCACTTACAGTTCCTGTTAGTTAGCATCTTTCTTTCATGTCTGTACTGCTGGAAACCCTGAGGCATAGGCCTAAGGCAAAATAATATGCTATCCTTGCTGGAATCAGGAAAGTGAGACTCTCCCAAGTGAAGATAGTTTCTGTTTCTTTCCTTTTTTATCTTTAAGGTTTGTTATTTTGTCCAATGTAGTACCAAATCAGTAAACTGTGGCACATAACTATTATTCAGGTAAAACAACTCCCATCTTTCTGCATTGTTTTCCTATTCTTTTTGTTTGTTTCTTCTATTCATTTTGTTTCTTTCTTTAAATCTTCCTTAAGAGGCTTTCAGAAATCCTTTTAGTTTGACTCAGTTTGAAATATAAATAGCAGGCAGATCACTGTCCCAAATATCATCTGTGTGACTCTCTTTAGCGCTTAAACTGCATCCGTTATGTGCCTGGCATTGGCACAGAGAGAAGAGTCTCTGCAGACTAAGCTGATTTAGACACACGTCATAAGACCAACATGTCAGTAATTGCCAGTTCACAAAATGAAGAGCTCCTATCTGGTAGTGAAGGAGAAAATTTCATTATAAATTCCCATGGAGTAGGTCTTAGTATAGGTCATGTATATTTTTACTGTGTTACAAGTTAACTCCTTAATGACTCCTGTAGTAATACTTTGTCTGGCTGTACCCAAAGATCAGAATTTCCCTGAGGGAGAGGTCTGTATCACCCTTTAAGTACTTGTGGTATTTACCAGACCTTTCATGTGATGCTTTTTAAGAAAAAGAAAATTATCAATTTAATTACTGTGGGTTTAGCATATTTCACCCCTGTTTCTGTTCTATGGCATGTCTTAATTTACCAAAAGTACTACCTGGAGGATAACCTGCAGATTCTTACCTCACTTATGCTTCTCAAAGTTCAAGATGAGGTCACCACCTGTCTTGGAGCTGTAAATCCTGGCCTAAAAACATGTAAGCCCAACCTGTTTGTGTCAGTATTTAATTTATTTATGCAGATATGGAAAGATTATATGTAGGACTAATAGCATTCAGGAGATATTTTTATCAAAAACAAATGGTTGGAAATACCACTGACAAATTTTACAACCAGGTAAAATGTCCATCAAATTATTGCTTTAGCAAGAGATTTAAATTTTAAAAATCTTCTAACAATGTTTTCTAACAATATAATAATGTCTTAGACTGATTTAATTATATTGTATGATCTATAGAACAAAATCGCATGTGGAAAAAGTTCTACATTTTTATATCTTTTAGTAAGAGTGTCTATTTTGATATTATGCTTCTAAAGAAATGTCTTAGGTTGTAAATGCAAGCTGTGGTGGAGGGTGGATTCTATTCCTATCTGTTAGAGGTGGGGCAGTTATCTGCTGTTAACTGGGCACCTGTTAAAACCAGGTGGGGCAGTTTTCTTTATCTCTTCCACAGCCCATCCTCCCTCTGGGAAATATCTTCTGTTAATGGGCTACTGTGTTTTACTGCATGACTGATAAAATTACATCATCCCACTGTGAGATGCTCCACCCAGGGGGAGGAGCCAAGCATTCCATCCTGGATATAATCTGAGATATAGAATGCCGCAGGCAGCCTTTTCCCACTGGATTCTCAGGCCCATCTACACCACTACCGGACCCCCAGAGGAAAATGACACCCTTCTCCCAGATCACTCCTTCAACAGAACCACATCTGTCACTCCAGGAGGACTGCAGCCACCATTTAATCAGACTGCTACCAACACCCTGACCAACAGGGTGTCGGGTTGTTTTCTGACAGTGTTGTTTTTTATGGCTGCATTTTAAAAAATTATTATTTTCCTAATATAGAACCATTATTCCTACTCCCATATCTTTGCATAAGAGGCCTTTAATTTCAAAATTATAATAATTCAGAAAGAGGGAATTTACATTTTCCATTTCAAGAGAGGCTCCTGCCTTCCTTAGCAGATAGGAAGTCTTTTCAAACCAAGACAGGAAAACCACCTGTCTTAAAGTTAAATTTTTGAATTGGTGAAGCTATCCCCATTAATATAGTTTGATTTGATTAAACTTCAGACTAAAATAGAAAACTAAATGACTTTTTTCAAGAAAGGCTTGAAAAACATCATTTTTCTGTTCCCTTGTGATATGAGCAAGCCATGTTCAGCTGCCTGAAACACTTTGTAGGAGTCAAGTTTGAGTTTTGCCCTTAGCTGTCTGGAATAAATAGACTGAAGATCCATGAGTACAGGAAGCGTGAGATAGGATATGTGGGCACAATGCTCCAAAACTGCCAGCTGTTCACTTTCACAATAATTTGGTCCAGTTAGCTCTTCATTTTTCAGTGTAGGAGATACATTTGCTCTCAGTTTTCTGATGGTTACACTAAAATATTTGCATGAAGATTTAATATGTTGGAGAAAAAAAGGTGACTTTATTTCCAAGATAGATCCACAGGTAAAATTAATGTTGTTTTTAAAATTTTCTTTCTTTGTGTCAAGTTCTGTCCTCAGAATTCAGAAGTTTTGATTTAGATAGCATTTTTACTTCTCTTGGCGGATGTTATCCTTAAATGAGCCTTATCATTCCAGTGACTGTATCTTTTAAAATAGGTGTAAGGAAGAGATACTGCAGCACCTTTGAATTTTAGAAGTGTAGTATATGGTACAGTTCAGGTTGGAAAAACTGTAAGTGTACTATCTGCTAGAAGTCATTTGAATCACAGAAGTCTATTAAAAGTGTTATTTTTTCTGATCATGATGGACTGCATCACAAATATAGTTTTTTTATCACTATTAATGTTTGCCACAAGCAGGTGAAGCAAGAAAATATATAAATGAAGTGGCATAAAGTAGGATTAAGTGGAATCACTCCTCAAGGATTATCAGAGCACCTTATAGCTCACAGAGCCTTATATCATCATATCATGTAGAAACAGCTTCTATTTTATGAGATTATTTTTAATTCCTAACCTTTGCCCTCCTTCATTACAGCAGACTTTTTTACTTGATATTAGTATTTTAACCACTTAGTAGCTTAAATTTAGCCATTTAGCCTTATGAGGCATTCAACTTCATACAATTTTTAACATAATTTAACTATTAACCACTACATCACTGTTTCATTTTTACTTTAAATAATATTTTCCATTTTCTTGGCAATTCATGTAAATTAGTAAAGGTCTTTAAACATGACACAGTTATTACAGTTATTTTTTTCTCCTTGCAATGATGTCTGTTAATGGGCCTTTTAACAGCAAGATGTTGCAATGTGTCCTGCATATTCAAGACCATAAATAAATGCAAGAAAATACTTAGAAGAACATGTGAAAGAAGTATCAAATATCTCTCAATGAATATACCATTTTTGATAACATAATTTTTGGCCAAGATAAGTGTTTTTTTATTGTTGTCTTGGTGTCTAAGCAAGAAAATATCAAACCCATTTTTTGCCTGGGCCTGTGACATTTAAAACCAGTTATTACTATTAAAAAAGTGTTGAGATATAATTGATAAGTGGAGCTGGTTGAGCAGAGGCTTGCAAGGTAACCATCTGCCCAGAATGGTAGAGAACTCTCAAACTACATCAAGGTAAATCTTATTTTATCCAAGATTTATCACTGCTTAATTCTAGATATAATGTAAGTGCTCTGTGTAATACATCATAATGGTTTATCTTTGTACTCAATTGTCTAATACGCGTTTGTCTGAGAGCTGAAAAATAAATCAAGGCTATACATCTTTACTCTTGGTCACTATCCTGAGTTCAAAGTGCTCCTTTCTGATGGAAGATTCTGATCCTTAAAGAACCATCCATCTGTCCAAAGTTAAGATCAGCTGCCAATAATATGTGATTTTCAAAAATGTCCAATGCTGACACTTCCTGAAGAAATCTCTTGGATTTCTTACCACTTTGTATAGGTAATTTCCACCACCCTCACTCCAAATGCCCAGCCTAAGGCCTTGCTTTACATTTATAAGATCTCTTTTTTCCCTACTATGCCTTCTCAGAGCAGTAGAGACAAATTATGAGGATTATCTGGATTGAAATGTCAACACTTCTCGTCATTGTTATTTGCATTAGGAAGTTTCCATCTGATCAAGCTCTGTCCAGCAGGATAAACAGACAATTACAATGTCAGTGTTTTCTAAATAGCCACTTTTGCAGAAAATGGTTTTCCTTTTATCTAATAAAAGTGCAATTGAATGTAATTTTGTTCTTTTAAGTAAACGGTTCTCTGAAAGAGATACAATTACAAAATCACAACTCAATCTGTAAAAAGACAATGCTCAACAGGTTCCAAGAAGTAGATCCTGGATTATCTTTTGAGTTCTTCAAAACTGTCTTTCAAGCACCACTGCTTAATAGCAACTGATAGTTTCATTCTTTGTACATAAACTTAGTCCTTTAAGACTTGCAGCATAAGACAGCCATCTTGTCTTCTTTGGTTGTTAGTGGAAAATAGAGGGATTGAATTGCCTTATGGCTGCTCCTGACTATAGATAAAACCTTGACAATTATCTATGACTGGCCAGTACATTTTTTTATCTTTCACTAAAAGAAGCTTTATAAAATCAAGCCTATGTGTAAAGTGACCATCCTCCGGTGAATCTTGGGAGGATTCCAGCTGTTCCTCCAACTCCTAGAAAACTCCAGAGTCTCTCCAGCTGATTACTTTCTTTGTTGAAAGAAGACTTTTGTCCAATCCTATAGAGTTTATAGCCATTTCACTCTCCTAGTTAGTTCCTACTCAGATCATATGAATCTTTACTAAAGGTCTACACAACTCACTATGAAATTAATTGAATGTTTCTCTCTGATTTCACAAGGCTCTGAGCTAAGCCTTTTTGCTTGCATTGTAGCCCTAAAGGATTTTTCTAGTCTTCTCTCTTTTCTAGTCAACTCTCTAAACTTGACGATCAGCTTCTGATTCAAACAGCTGCCAAATATCCTGCTGGGCACTAAGTAACTGCTGCTAATTTCCCGTTGCATAGATAATGAAGTCTGACATACATACAACACAGCACGTGAGATTCAATCTCAGCTTTCTAAACGATACTAAATGGAGACATTAGCTGTAAATTCACAGTTTATTTTCTTTGATTTTTGAGTAGATAGAGCTTGAAGCTACCACAAACCTTTCATGTGTATTTTTTTTATGCACACCTGTTTTCTCCCATATTCTATTAATAAAAAGAGCATTCAAGAGTGCTGCTGTCTCTCACAAATGTGCTCTGTGCCAAAATACTTTTTTGTCCACGTTGTCATGTTTGTTAATGAAAGGGTATAAGAGACTGGGGAGAAAAAACACTTCAGGGCATAGGCTCTGCTCTTGCTAGCAAGAGCAGATATAGGGTACTTATATGAACAAGTGTGGAGAATTGCCTGCCACAACTTCTTTCTCATTGTGTTGCCGTTTCAACTACTTGAGAGCCCAGATCTGTTTTGTGCAATGGCTCTGCTGTCATTCTCAGGAGGTTACAATAGGAAGCTGTCACCTGCCTCATGAAGCTCCCAGTTGCTCTGTTATGTAGCCAATGCCAGTGTTTCCCATATGAGTCTGGGCTGCTATTCCAATGCTCCTCGCTGCTGCCTTCATGACAGATGGTGCACAGCTCTGCAGTGGTCACAGCCAAAAGTAACTTGTGGAGGTGTGATTCCACTGTAAAGATTTTCCAGCATTGCTGCTCAGGAAAACTCCAGTGACAGGAAGTGACAGATAAAAATTCTATTATGTACCTAGAAGCATTTATTCACCCCTCATTGAACACAGAGGTGGAGGGTACCACTGTTTACACTGTAATAGGCATCACTACCTATGAGTGCCAATTTGCATTACCTGAGCATCATTAATTTCTGCTGCATCAAAGCTAACATAGCATTCTGACTTGCCAAGCTGTTATGGGGAACAGCTACAATGTCATAGAGGTCTTTAACAGTTGTTGGAACCACACAGGTCTGAGAAGCTGCACGGTCAGGTAATGGGCTGACAGTGAGGGCTTGTCATCTGGGGCCAGTGGAAAAGAGCAAGAGCCATGTAGCAGGGTGGGCTGTGCGAGTCTGGTGACAGCACCTCAGTAGCACAGTAACTTGGCCTTTGCCTGCTCAAGGCTGACTCAGCTGTCTTAGGGAATTCGTGAGTATCACAGCACAGCGTCCCCAGTGGGGTAATAATTAGCATTGACTCCATGATTCCGGAAGGCAGATCAATTGCATTATTGTACTATACTATGCTATACTTACTAAGAAACTCATCGCCCTTCCAGACAGTCCAGTACAGACAGACCGGATTGGTCCTTGAATCCAAAACACCATCACCATTGGCCAATTAAGAAATCACCCTTTGGTAATCAAATCTCCATAACACGCTCCACATGTTCACAACAACAGGTGCAGCAGTGAAGATAAGAATTGTTTCTCATTCTTTACTCTGGTCTTCTCACAGCCTTCCCCAGGAAGGGAGAAAGTTGTGCCTGCTCTCTGTGGCCAGACAGCTGTAGCCACATGTGAGCATTGCATGGAAAGTGCGGAAGAGCCTTGTCTGATATTCAGCCTGCAGAAATCCCAGATTTAAGGCAATCTTAAGAAAAGACAAGATGGCACAGTCCAGAGACTAAAAGTAAGTACCATGTGAGTTCTTAGGAGGCGTAAAGAAAACTCTGTAGCATAGGGGCAATTAATTGAAGCAAGAGAGATAGCTTTCTTGGGGAATAGGTAGTCAATTTAAAAAGCAAAGACTACAGGTAGTTCTACTGGGACCCTATAAAGGAGAACAACAGTTTTTAATACACACTTCTTTAAAAATAGCACCAAAATTAACTTTTGGGGGAAAAATAAACATGCATTTCACTTTCATGACCTAATGGTGATAATGACCATTATAAAGTTAGATCTACAAAGGCATCTTTGGATACTGTAAACTTTTAGGCTTCTCAGTAATAGGATCCATACTGGCAGTCATATTCTAAAATAGGGTAGGCTAGCAACCCATGACATTTGCATCAAAACGTCTTAGAGCGGAAGGCAGGTGTTGAATTTTTAGTTAAGAGTCAGTTCAGTTAAGTCAACAAAATAAGAAATTTGACTTTAACTCTCCTCCTTTTTCATCCTGTCTCTAGCTGGCTTCACTTCCCCACTGATGTTCTTCCCTTCTGTGATTTCTCAACTTGAGGCAGTATGATTGCTTGTTGACAGTGATGTGCAATATAATATGTGTACCTCTAAATTGCTTTCAAGCTGATAATTCTTTCTAATAAGCTTTGAGATGGTGCTTAGCAGGTTTAATATTTCTATTATTTTTCTATGGAATTAAAAACAATTGCCAATATTTTTTTTCCTTATTTAAATCTTCTTACCCTCAATCAGCTGGAAGAGGGAAAGGACTTATGCTACAGGTGCACAATTCTGAGCACAGCTGTCTCTCTTGACTGTTTATTAAGGCTTGTCATAGAAAACAAGACCACTGCCAACCTAGCTTGTAACAGGAAAATATGTATTCACTGATTATTACTTATGTTTGGGTTTTATTCCTCTATAAAATAAAAATGCAGATGTAGAGATCTCTGTTTTGTTGGCACTGGTGCTCTATAGGTCTTGTCACAGTAAATTAAAAGAAAATAGATATTTGCTAATTTGTGGTTAGAAAAAAAAATTAAAATTAAAAAAGGCATTAAAGTGATAGTCCCTTTATAAGCCTGGCAACAACAGGGAAAAACAACTTCACAGCCTGATGTTGTTGCAGCTTGGCAGTCAAATGGGTTCGTGTAGGCTGCTGTTGGCAGCAGTTTTCATTAGCTTAGGGCCTCCTTTCTGGAAAGACAGAGCTGAGTTGCCAGACACAGATGTCCAGTCTGTGCAAGCAGGACTCACTTATACACTGTCCTGCTGAGCAGCCCCCTTGAGCATCTCCCATCTGCCTGCCTTTAGGTGCAATTCTCTTATCATTATGACATCTTCCTTAAATATGTGGGCTTTAATTTATACATTTGCTTTAAGCTAAATTTCCTATTATGTTAAAGTAACCATTCATAATCATGGCAGAACTTCCCAACAAGGAAAACTGAGTCATATTTCTGTGACTCAGAAATAATAATTTACTATATAAATATATAAAATAATAAAATTTGAATAAATGCCAACATCAATACAAACTGCTTATTGGAATAGGGCATTGTTTTAATTATTATTAGTATTTATGCTTCACCTAGTAAGCTAATATACAAAACTAATCTAGGATCACTGTAATATTTACTGATTACCTTTGGTATATTCCACAAATGAGAGGCACTTGCAGAAAAAGAAATCAGCACCACCATGGATCAGATTATTGCTATCCTCCTGGTGCATCTGGTCCCATGACTGCGGTAAGATTGGAAGAATTTTGCTCTTTTTCTTTCTGACTCCCCGAAAAGAAATATGACATTGTGAATTCTTCCCTAAGAGATAAAATAGAAGGAATTAATCACATCCTCATGACAAGAGAATTCTTTTCAAGTAATGGCAGTTACTAGAAAATATTTTTAATGTTTTTTAGAAAAAAAGTATTCTTATTGATATTGTGCTGATTATACTTCAGCAAACACTTTCTATATGATGAAGTTTTAAAAATTAGATCTTTCCAGAACTCTGGAGATGAACCTTGCGAAGATTCTTAATTTTTCAGGATTCAGAAAGACTCCTAGATAAATTGTGTATAAGGAGTAATGTGAAGGTTTAGTATCTTCCTCTTACAAAAATTTTCTCATCATGTCTGTACTAAGACAAATTTTTCAGTGCAGCTAGCATTTGAACTGGAAGAAATAAAATTTTGGGACTGGAAGGGATAAACTTTCAGGATGCAGTGATGTTTGCTCTGTTATTGTATATGTCTCAGTAATTTGGGTTTTTTACTCTGTACATGAGAGTTTGAGGGCTCTCCAGAAAATAAAACTTATTTGCTATTCCTGAGAAGAAAGCTTTATTCAATCAATATAAGAAAAGATCACTACCATGCCTTCCATGCTGGCAACAATTTTTTAAGAAAACAAAATCTTAGGTTGTTGGAAAGGATGGATAAATATAATTGCCTGGCAAAAGATTCACAATAGTACAGCCAGGATGAAAACAATCCCCCCTACTGGTTGGAAAATACCCTTACCTACAGATAGGTCCAAAAGTCAAATGGACTGTTCCATCTCAACCCCCAAAATGCATGGTTCATCCCCCACCTGTAACCCTCCCCTGAAACATCAGGTGTCTGTGACCCCATTGGCCCAAGTCTTGTTCCACCCACCTTGAAGCCCCCTGTTAAGGGGTCTCTGAGGGGCCAGACACCCTCTTGGACCTTCCCCTCTCTTAGATCTTCCCCTCTCTTAGATCTTCCCCTCTCTTAGATCTTCCCCTCTCTTGGAACTTCCCCTCTCTTAGATCTTCCCCTCTCTTGGAATCCCCGCTCTCTTGGAACTCCCCTCTCTTGGAACCTCCGCTCTCTTGGAACTTCCACCCTCTCCTGGAGCATTCCCTCTACCCCTTGTCTCTCCCCTCCCCCATCCCCTCAGGCCTTGCCACGTGCTGCCTCTGGCAGCTCCAAGCAAGACCTTTAACCATCCCTAATAAACCTGATATTCTAAGAGCAGCCTTCAGAGATCTCTTGTCTCCATTCATCAAAGCCGTCCTGGAGCACAGCCTTCCCTACATTAGGTGATAGAAATTAATTAGTGTGATCAAGAAATTGCCCCTATTGTGCAGCTACGTAGGTGTACTTTTGCAGTTCTTTGTTTTGCTTCTGAATTGTGGTCAGTTTTTTGAAGGTTGGAGGGAGTTGGTTGATTATATTGGAGTCCATTATTTTGTAGCTCTGCACCTTGATGTAGCATACTCAGTTCAGTACAGCCCAGTACTCTGAGTGACACAGCTTAAGACTTTTCCTGGCATTGTCCTAAATATTTCATTTGTGGCTCTGAACTCAATGTGGCTATGTCAAGGTTAAGACCAGGCAAACAAATATGTCATATGCCGATCTCCTGTCTCTACATTATTTAAATTGCAGTGGAATTCTTTCTCCATTTTCTTCTTCTTTGGCTTAACTGGTATGTATTTAGCCCTTCTAGTATTTTCATAAGTCTGTTTTGCAAGTGAATTATCACTTTTGTTTTGCTACCCTGGATTTCTTTCAGTCTGTCACTGTCTCTTGTGTAATGAGATGTCCAGAACTGCTGCAGGTGTAGTTGTATTTATTGCCCTACATAGATGAAATACCTTCTGTAGCTTGAATGCTATTAAAAAAGCTGTGGACTTTCTGCTGTCAAACTGCATTGAAAAAGAATTTCTTGGTTGCTTCAACATTACGACTAGGTCTTTTTCTGTGTGTTCAACAGTGAGATGTTAATTTTTTTTTTTTTTAATTAATGGAAGCAAATGAAGAAACCTAGTGTTTTCATTCCCACAGAAGTCTGAGGCAGCTAAATTGATTAGGTAGATCCCTGTTACTTGGTGAGGTTAAGATGTGCCCAGTATGAAATTTGCAAAAACTAAGTTACAGCCTAAGTGACATGGAAGTGGACTGAAGGGAAGGTGAGCATGATTCTGTGAAAGAAAGACAGTTCAGACCGTGCTCACACCTTCTGGTACATATAAATGACAAATCCAACTCCTTCTTGATTGACTCATTATGTAGAAGGCAGAACTAATGCTTAGTTAACTTGTGTATTTAGGCATGCCTTACATGAGACAAGCAGAGGCATCTTTCTGGCAATAAAAAATGTACATTAAAAGATCTGAAGGAGTAATGGTCAAAAAATTGCAGTCAAAAATGTTATTTTTCTCTCAGAGAATATGACATCTTTAAAATTCAGCAGTTCCCTTGATGTCTGTCAATGTGTCTGTTTACTTTGAGGAAGAAAAAGATGAAATGTTGCTTTTTGGTAAGGTCAAAACTGTTCCTTTTCAAGCACACCTGGAATGCTTTGATCATTTCAAGACTCACATTCTTATTTTGCAAAAAAAAAAAAAAAAAATGTTTATATCAGTATACTCTAAAATTGATAGCATATTTACATTTATTTACTTTAACAGACTAATCAAATAGTTTAAACATATGCTTTCGTTGATGCTGCTGGCTCTATGATTAAAAAAGTCATTAATACATTTTTATTTTTCTTTACTATTAGAACACTGTCATTTTGAAGGGATAGAAATAGGATATTGAGCTACCTTTGAAACACTGAACATAGCGTACAAGGTCAACATAGCAAAAAGCTAAGTTAGGTCACACACAGATGTAAGAACACAATCCTAGATACCCATATTAGTACACAAGCTGGGCTCAGCTGTTCTATTTCAAACACCAGCTCAGATAATTCAGCTTAATAGGGACAATTTGATAGTAACTTTCTTATTGCAATCTTCCTTTGGAGCTAGTAAAATACGTAAAATCAAGGCTCTATTGAAGATTGAAGCTCTGCCTATGACTTTAACCTATGTCTTTGTCAGAACTTTGTACAAGACCAAATTAGTCAGCAACCTCCTGTTCTTTGTGGAAAGATTCTAGGACAATTTTTGAAGAATTTTACTTTAAGGAGGTTCATTTTAATCTAATGAAAACATATGGTTTTGGCAGCACCAATCTCTAAGGAATGCAGTTAAACTTTCTTTTATTTTCTTCCTTTAGAAAGTGTCAGCATAAGTACTGAGCTCACTACCAGTAAATCACCAAGTAGCATGAAGTATCCCAAAAGTAATCATAACTATCCTCACTTGAAGAAGGCTTGGAATGATGTGAATCATAACTGCACTTCATAACAAAGACAATATTGTGAAAATGTTCCTATTCAGAAGCAATGAGTCATGCTACAATGACCATCACTTAATCATTATGACTAAACAGAGATCAACATTTACAACTGAATGTGTTACATTTTGAAATATTTTTGAGAGAGAAATATGGGTAAGTATAAGAAGTTGTAAAAGCTACCACTGTATATTAATTCACGTGACCTAAAAGCTACTACTTTTACTTGCAAAAAACAGTGGTCAGTGAGGTGTGAAAGGCACTTATTATTTCAAAAATGTCTTGAAAACATTTTTCAGTATCAGGAATAATCCACTTCACCTTTTAAGCCACTGTCTATGTTCCTTTCACAGAAGATTAATGCAACAATATATGCTTGGCATAGTTGAGAATAAAAACAGCATGGATGATCCTAAAATGAGAATTTTGCTTTTCCCCTTAATGTAACTTAGTATTCAAAATAATATTAATTAAGTTTGCCAATGACACTAAACTGGGAGGAGCT